ATGTGCGAACAAAAACAAAAACATGTCATGTGTGAAAGAAAAGGCAGAGAGTGTGTGAAGACAAAACAAACCTTAGCAATAAATGAGTCAGACACACAGCACAAATTCAAAGGATAAAAATGGAGGACAAAGAATCAGAGTCTGAAACAAACTTAAATGGCCCCGAAGAATGCCACCTAATATTTCCTTCCAGTATAGCAAGTGTTACTTTTTATCCGATCTCATCAAATTTTGAATCGAATCACTCTCCTTGTTTGTTCCTTCAAAAGTGTTTCCAAATCTTCTCTTTAATTTGATTTCTTCTTAATTTACAGTTCTCTGCACCACCAGTGGATTTCACGAGAGATTCACAGATATCTAATATTCTCTTTACATTAATTCAATATATACACGTTTAATTCTCTCTGCTTGCAAATTGTAGCTTCTGATTCTGTTCAAATTTAGATTTAAATTAAGTTTTAAATTTTTAGATTTATTTTCGCTCTAAATATATTCCATCCAGGATTTGAATCCTCTGAATTTTGCTATATGAAGTTTGGTGAAGTTAGGAGCATCATAACCATTGCTTATATCAAGCCACAGAATATAATTATGCCATGTAATAATTAAATCGTTGTGTTTCATATGGGTGGGAGTGATTTTAATGCACAAAAATTGGTGACAAAATGCTTTTAGTTTTCACTCCATAAATCAGACGTGCATGGCCGTTTTATTCTCCCATCATCAAGAGGAAAATAAAATAAATTTAATTGCCTGGAAGTTATTATTATGGGTTCCCCCAACAAATTTTCTTCTTCCAAAATTCTGAAAATTCCATCACATAAGCATATTACAATGAAAATGACAAAGGCACATTGTTGAAGTTGCTGTGCTATCACTGTTAACAATGAGTAATATTGCAGACTTGCAGTAGTTGAAGTAATATTTATGTGCCATCATCGTCATGCCTTTCATAACGATGCCAGCAAAAAGAAACCCGGCCCTCTGAAACACAGAATTTTTGCTTTATTACATGGCATAATTGGGTGGCTTGATGTAAGCAACGGTTGTGATGCTCCCAACTTCACCAAGCTTGAGATAGCAAAATTCAAAGGATTTAAATCCTTCCATCTAATGCTAAGGCACTTTTTGAAGAAATTGAGGATCCTATTAAGACATTTAATAAAGTACTAATTATGTTTTTCTAACAGTATCTCTATTTAAATTTACTAATTAAGAGAAAAAATGTAATTCAAATTTATTTTTTTATTTAAATAAGAGTACAATTGAAAGTTTATTTTCATGTCTTTTTGATTCTAGTGAGGTAGTTATAAATACTTTATACTTTTTTTATCTGAAATTAAAAGACACTTTTAAGTAAAATCTTATATATTATTCCATCCGGATCACAATATAAGACATCTTTTAAAAACTTTACTTGATCAAAAATATAGGGCATTGGATAGCTTTATATTTGTTTTTTCAATTATACTCCTATTTCATTTATTACTCGTTTTGAAAAAAAATTATGCATTAAAATTTTAATTATTATTATTAACACTCTTATATAAAATACTTAATGAGTGTATAAATAGAAAGATGTGAATATTTTTAAGAATGTAAGGTTTCAAATAATATTATTTATAAATCGTGAATTACTTAACTATAATTTATATTGTGATTCAGAGAGATAATAAATCTAATTAAATACTCTTAACAATTTTATTTTTTTAAAATCAAAATATAAACTTTCAAAATAACCCTTCATTTAATATAGTAGTATATTGAAAAGAGAGAGGGACATAAATTAAATAGAGAGAGGGAGAGAGAAAGAGCAATATTAAAATAATCCTATTTAATAAAGTATTAATATTCTCAAGATGTCTTATATTTTAAAATGTTAAATTTTTTATAAAAATATCTTATAATTTAGGACGTAATAAGAAGTAAGTTACAAAAGAGATAAGATGGAACATGTCTCAATTCAACTAGCTTCAATTATTAGGTTCTCCCCCCCCCCCCCAAAATGCTGTTATAGAGAATAAAAATTAATATAAGATACACTTCTCAAGGAGGAAAATTAATTATGAGCATATTTAAAAAAAGATAATTTTTACACATCATTTAAGTTTTAGTCTAGAAAAATAGAAACATCTATTTAGGGACAAAGGAAGTACCAGTTTCATTTAGCATTGATATTCTTGTATATTTATTTGGACTTAGTACTAACAAGTATTGTCAAGTACAATTAAAAATATCTCTTTTATTATAAGTTTTTTTATTTATAAAATTCGAATCCCCAACCTTAATTAAGAGAAATCAATTCTCTTTAGTGTTGTAACAGAGAATCACGATCATATTAACACTTTAGTTTATTGAAAGTTAATAGAGATTATATTTCAAACAAGAAATGATCTTGTGATTTTTAAAAAGAAAAAAGTTTTGTTTTCATTCAAAAGGATTCAATTCATATAAATGAAGTTCACATAATTAATAAGGAAAGCTTTACATAATATGATATCAATTATTATATTATTATACACTCCTAATTAAAAAAGACCCAAAAATTATGAGAACTAACTCATTCATCATCTCTACAAAAATAATTAGTTTACTTAAAATAATTTTATAAATTGATAAACATAAAGAAATCTTTCCAAAGAATTAATGAAATACACATTTTATTTGTATCTTGCTTTCTCATCTATATTATCTGGTCCAACCTTTATTAAATACTATATTTATAGGTCAACATTTTTTTTGAATAAAATAATATATATTTGGTTTAATTTAAATAATTTACACTTGTTTTAGATTTTAGTTCCAATCGTATATTTGAAAAAGAAAAACCTCTTAATGAAAAGCTCATATACTTATATAGTTTTTTAATAAAAAAAGTCACAGTCAAAATCGTGGAACTAGGTTAAATTAATAGAAAGATGATCTCTACACTTTAAAGAAAGATTGCTAAAGATGTTAATATCAAAATTATCATGAACATTCAACCTCACATGAGGACATTTTGGATTTTATTGATAGAGTCAAGAAATAGAATCAATAAGAGTTGATTTTAATGGAAGAAGTTGTGATCACTTAAACGTGATGATTTGAATTTAAATTCATGTGGATATAAAAAAATATTTTTAAAGGTTTACTTTCAATTTAACTCGACAATCAACGAGAATCTTCCAGGCATGTTCATACAAAATAGGAGACATGGCTTCAATGAAGTGATAGTGAACATTGAGTTGAGATAACTTTGTCTTCCGACAAATGTTTCTGTATAGTTCAACACACAGCTTCATCTGAATAGGTTTCAGGATAGGTTGGCGTAATCAAGAAAGATTGCATGAATCGATATTTTGATCATGTTTTTGTTTCTTTACGGGAAATATTTAAATATAGCTAGGAACCTAGTTAGGTCAAGGTCCACCTACGAGCAATGTTTGAATTTGAAGGCTAAGGTTGAAAATTCAATCTACAAAACTATAACTTATATTGAAAGTGCATGTAGCTTTCACGTATCGTATTAGTGCTATCGTGCAAATTTAGAACAGGTAACTATTTGAGTATTTAATATGTATACTACATAAAATAACTCAATTATTAATTTCAACCTTGCTTTTGCGGCTAAATTAAATCATGTTGTAAAAAACTCAGGAAATTTCAAAAAAGGTGGTCAAACTAATTTTGTCACGTTCCCAATCATTATTTGTGTACTCTGATATAAATTTGGCAGGATTTAATTTTTCCAAACAGAACCAAGCATCGTTTTCGTTATTTCTTGCACACCTTGCCATTCTCAGTTTGTTTCGTGTTCTAATAAGTTTCTTTATTTTATTATTATTATTTTTGAATAATCACCATTTTTTTTGTAGACAAGGAAAATTCCTTCCATCGCTAAAAATAAGATTGGAGAGTTTTTTTTTTTTTTGAGGGTTAGATTCTTATTTTTCCTTTTGTTAGTTAAACATTTATTAATAAAAAATTAAAGTTTTAATTCATTATTTTGTCTGAGTATTAGCCATTGATTTTTTTTTTTGGTGCTCACTATGAGCTATTAACATTATTTTTAAAAAAAATTGCTTGCAAACATTGATGATTCATTTTGTGATTCAAGGGATTCAAACGTGCAATGATCATATTGTTAACACATTTTCAAGCCCACAATGTAGAACCCATGATATCGACATATGCTTCTTGCATTTTTACATGGACAAAATGCAAGTCTTTCAATTTTTTCAATAAAATTTCAAAATCATATCATTCATACATAACAATCACAATATCAAATTAAATTAACTAAATTCGAACTTCAAGGAAGGTTTAGAGGCTGCCCAACACAACCACGACGAATTTCAACTCTCACGCCATGTGATAGGTCATCCAAGGAGAGAAATAATCAAAGCCAATTAATCACACGTTACACGAAAAATGATATATGATATTGCAAGATAAGTGGGACCCACATATCTCTCCTCACAATAATGGGCCAACATATTAAACAAGGTCAACGCAACACATATTTTTCTCCTTGCAATATGTTGCTACTACAATAAAACCCTAAATTTTAAAAAAACATTTTTTCTTTTTTGGATAACAAATAAATTTAGGTGAGTTAAATTTTAAAAGTTTACTGAGCCAAAACATGAGTTCAAACTCAAAAAATATTTATAGAAATACTTACAAATCACCGCCTACTAATAAGATTGTCACATTGACAATAAAATTTAATTCCAGTCTTGTGGGTCGAACACATTTTTTTCTTTGGGGTCTTATGGCAGTCAGGTTTTGCTTGTCTCCTCACTTAATCATCATATCTCAGCACATGATCAAGGTGTGACAATTAGCATCTGATTAAAGCACTTGGGGCCCGGCCCAGCCAGGCCCATGTGCATCCCAAATTATTATACTGTAATTGTGGATGTAATTCTCTGGTAGTCTAGTGCTTCCTCCAGTATTACTAGCTCTGCTTGATTAATCCCGACAACACAGTAAATGGAAACGACGCCATAGGCCAATGAAATAATTAATTTTACATCTCAAGGATTAAAGCATATGCCTCCAATTTCATAGTGTGTTTCTCCTATGGAGAACTAACAAATCTGCAGCTATATTGATTTGCTTGTAAAGCTACCGTGTCAAAAAAACAATCCAGATGAACAGTTCCATGCAGGGATATTCATTAGGACCAGTAAATATAAAGACCTTATATGCCCATAAGCAAAAACAAGGCACAGCATTGTCCAATGGCTATTCACAAGCAAAACTGAACCTCTTCTTTGAGTTTTCCCTCCTCCAGTGATGATCTGTTTGATGACTATCCCTTTGAAATCGAGAACCTTCAGCAGATTGATGATAGCTCTCCCTCATCTGGAATCTCTGATTCCTGGCTGTCCAGTCTCCACCAAAGTTTCTTCTGAATTGTAAATCGCCAGAAACATTATTGGAATTTCTCTGCTGCTTCCATCCATGGTCATTTTCTTCACAGTTTCTCCATCCTCTGCCCCTTGGAGCCATATTATGCTGATTGGATTTGCATTCCCAAGGCCTTTTGATGTTAGAGGAATAATTTGATTGTTTTGGGTTCCAAGAGTTATCCGAAGTTATACCCCCTCCTTTGTTATCATCCCAAGCATTGCCCCAGCCTTTATTATCATTCTGCCAAGGATTATAACCACAGCCCCGTTCTTTAATCTGGTCACCATGGCCACTCACTTGGTTCCAACCCCAAACCTTCGCACTGCCACCTTCCCATGCATTGTTAGTTAATCCTCGATTTTCACGAGTTACACTGTACTCCCAAGGGTTATTGGCGTTCTCTGAATTGCTAGGACTATTTTTGTGTCTATCGGGTTCACATTGATTCCACCCCTGCACATTATTCTCCAATGGTTTGTCAATCTTCGTACTTTCACATTCCTGAGAATTTTCACCATTTGCTGAAACTTTTGTTCTCTTGTAACCTACGGCATTCCTTTCTTCCTCATCAGGGGGAGGAAAGTATGCACAATCCAACTCCTTTATCAGTTCAGGATCAATATAAGTGTTCCAATCTATTTGATCAACGTAAGCATCTGAATGAGGAAGAGAAATATCACAAGGGAGGCTGTTGATCTTCGCCCAATATTGTCTTTTGGCATTTTGAAATGTTTCTTCAGCAGCTGAATCATTCCAATTAAGCACATTACTATGGCAGCTTATAAAATTCTTGGTATCAACTATCTTCTGCCATGGTACTAATCCAACTGAAGTGCAAAATTTCTTCTCCCATAAAGGTATACCATCCTGCTGAAAATCTGTCAAGAAAGGGAAGGGAACAATAAATTCAGTAAAGGACAAGGGGATATGGAAATTATATTCATAGGAATACAAAAAAAATTAAATAATACAATCATTATTGTTGTGATTGCAGTCACTTTAGCAGAACAACAGTACAAACTTATCAAGCATAAAGCACAGCAGTTCAGGAAACAGCTGACTATTTTGGGTTCTCATATCACAAGTTTCAAAAATCATGCCAGGCATATGGAGGAATTACATAACAATATTGGAAAAAAGCATCAAAAAGTCTTAACAAATTGCTCGCAAGTCACAACCAGCAAGAAACTGAACAGAATTGAAGACAAAAGGTAGCAACACAAGGAAACCTGTAAAGCAATATGAATATGAAAAAGTCTCTCCCTGTATGTGTGTGTTAGACTGCCAATTCGAGCTCATGATCTGAGAGGTGAAAGGAGAATACCATCACCATCAAGCCACAAGTTCCATAGGCACATCTAAGCATGAAGACAAGGCTTTACCATAGAAATCTGGTCCAAGCATACAATCCAATTCCAAATTTTAAAGTTGAATAGAGAAACACATTCCATTATCATAGTGAAAGATCATAATAAGATTAGAAGTTTCAAAATATATTTTATAATGATAAAGAATACAAGACTGGACAATAAATAGATAAATATATAGAAAACAACCCAAATAACAGTACGTGATAGGCCAAAATAATATGAATTTGAATGTTCAAGGAAAAGTCAGAAATAACATCAAAGTGATAGACAGGCATGGAGGCTTTATCCATCCATGATAATCATTTCTAAATTCAAAACAGTCTTATGGTTGCAAAAAGGAATCTTACAGAATACAGTCATGTTATAACAAAGTCAAAATACAAAAGCCAGAGTGCACTAGTTTTAACAACTCAAACAGTCAAACTTTTGACAATACCCTCTCTAACTCCAAGATAGATATAGATCTTACTTGGATTAAGCAAGAAGAAGCCTTACAGAGTTAAAGTATTACTCCCTATAAATACTGATGCCTAAAATATCCAGTAAAAAATGTTGTATACGCTCTTTCGGTTCAGTTAATAACTGTAATTACTTCAAGAAAAACCCCAACGCATTTCCTCTTTGGAGGGCCAAACAAAACCTCATACAGATTTAAAAATTATGAAGCCTACCATTAATCAAAGCACAACCGTTACCATGTCCATTGCTAACAAAACAAAAAGGAATAGACATCGGTAATGCTCTAATGTGATCCTCAGAGATGTTTACGACATCTTAAAAAATTTCTCCCAAGAAACCAACTGTGTATACCGAGCTGTAAAAGACATCCATGTGTGAACTTTGACCGCAAAAAACATAAAAATAAAATCCCCAAGTTTTCACCAAGAAATAGTGGGCAACGAATGATTAAAAAAAAAAAAAAAACAAGATGCCATTTTTCTTCTCATTTAACCAAACATTTGTCTTGCAATCACATTTCAATAAATACATAATATTCTTGCCAATCAAACTCAGGCAGACACCTATAAATGAAAAATGCGATATTTGTCTTTGGCAATTCGAAACAGAAGTTTAAAGAAAATATCAGAATACTAGAGGGACAAAAATTAAACACGTCTTAATGATTATAACCAAACCAACAGAAAATTCAAAGAAAGGAGAGATTAAAAAAAAAAATTACCAGGGAGAGGAGCTCGAAGGTCATAGAATACAGGCGGAGGCCTGGGAGATCTTCGTTGACGAAATATTCTCCGGTTCCTCCACTTACCCATAAAAAAAAAAAAAAACCTCAAATCCGAAATATATGTAGATTGTAATTGTAAAAAGACACAAAAGTGGGCAAAGAAAAAGAAGAAAACAACGAAGTGAAATAGGCACGAGCGCGGGAATAGGAAACAATCGGGTAAAGTACGGAATCTGAAAGTGTACTAGCCACCACAGTTCGAAATTCACAGGTTCAGAGGACTTGCGAGTCTTGAAAAGAAAGAGATGGCCAAACAAGAAAAGTGATGCGCAGAGAAGTAAAACGTTTTCGACTGTTCATGTTCGTACATTTAATGATTTTTGGGCCAAGCGTTCATTGAAGAATAGAAACTTCAAAAAAGCCCAAGAACTTCAATATGGGCTGGCTGAGAATGTAAGACAATTATTTTTTAAAAAAGGCTTGCAAATTCATGGGGGAACAAAAAGAGCAATCCAAGATGCCAAAATTAAAATTTGTTGGACCGAAAATGAGGAATTGTGAATTGTACCTCTCGTGATTCCTGACCTATGCCCTGTGCAAATTATTGTGAATAATATAACTTATTTTTCAAATATCATGTGACATATAAAAATGTCTTTTTAATATAAAAATATATAATTTGAAAAAAAATAACACTCTTTTCATCTCAAATTATAAAACATTTTTGAATAAAATATCACATACCAATAAAACTTATTAAATACATCTTATAACCTTACTTTTTCATCACAAAAATATAAACTTTTAAAAATACCCTTCATTTAATACTTCATTAATAAAAGAATATTGAAGAGAGAGAATATATAGAAAGGATGATATTGAAAAACTATCATTAACAAAATTTTATTTTTATTAAAGTATCTTATATTTTGAGATATGAATCTTTTTTAAAAATATCTTATAATTTGGGACAGAGAAAATAAGTGAAATTATTTACCAATTGTAAGTAATATATATACATATTTTTTCAAAATGGAACCAATGCCAACATTTGGAAATAAATTTGAGAAAATGAAGTTTGAGGCTTTGGAAGACACTTCATTACAGCTAAGGATTGTAAATTTTGAAAATAACATTGAAAGATCAAAGTTTTCATATGATTAAAAAATAATAATATTATTATTATTATTATGGACCAAAATATCCCTACTCAATCAGGACATTATGACTTATAAAAAGTGGAAGCTCAATTACAGAGAACTGAAAACTCAATTGCAAAATAGTAGAATCTAAGGATAAATTACTAGAAAGTGCACTTTTCAAAATCCTATATGTTATTTGAGTTTTGAAATCAAAAGCTTAGTTAGAAAATCATAAGTGTAATGATATAGTAAATCATGAAATCTTAATTGTGTGCATTTTGACCTATATATCAAGCAATGACTTGGTTCATTTTTTAAAAAAATAAACAAAGTTCCTTAAATGTTGTTAAAATTTAATGAAGTGTCCCCAGCAAAATTTGTCTTTCCCAGAGATGCTTCAAACCGGTCCTACCAGTACCAGATTAGTCTTTTTTCTTGGATAATGGACCAATCACTTGTAAAGTTTATAACAATGAATTTTAAAATTACAAATATTTCTTAAGAATAAAGGATCTTGAATTTAACCAGCAAATATCAGAAATACCCTGTAGCATTATTGATTTATCCCAATCTAAGGAGGTAAACATAATTATGAACATAATATTAACGATTAAGGGATAGTCATAAACATAGTTAGTAAATGTTGAAAAAAATATCTAGCGACTTCAAGAAACATGAATGATAAATATTAAAAGATTATTAATTCATAACTTTGTATAATAAAAGTGTTGACTTCAATGAGCATGTGGATAAATGATAAAATTATAACATAGGAAGACTATCATATAACCTTTTGAAAGAATGTAACGATGTTGAAAATCATATAGGCATGTCTGTGCTTTTTAAATATATATCTTGCAAGATTTGTTTACATCAATTACATCAAGTAGTGACCACCTAGGCTTTATAAAGCGATGGGACCGATAAATGAATTTTAGAGTTCTCAGTACTTTAAACTCCCCTCCCCACTCTTTGACAGTTTTTTTTTTTTTTTTTTAAGTACCGGTGTTTTAAGACTGAGCAATCAGGCAGATTGTTTTCTGAACACAAAATGAAGGAGTCAACTTAACTCTTTAACTTGTTTCAAAGACTTGCCCATTTTTTATCCCCTTGAATCATGTATGCTTTTGGGTTCAAAAAATATTTATCAAAGTATTCAAAGATCATGATTTTATATATTATATTCATTAAATCTTTATTAATTGGGCTAACCTTTGTTAGTGTTATTTTTGCATTTTTTTTATCATGTACATGTATTCTCTTATTGAAGATAATTATATTTGAAGCACAATTAGATGCTAAACATGAACATATCTCTTGAGAATCAATAAAAATTCAAACCTTAATTTGTTATATTATAAAAAAAAATTACATTTGAGTTCCATAAAAGTGAGTTTATTGTTTAGAGGTCCCATAAATTTTATAAAATACACTCAAATCTCAAATCCTACATATTGATAACTTAACTAAAGGTATTGATAATTAGGCAAAGGCCAACAAGTTATAAATGGCCTTTGCCCAATTGTCAATACCTTTAATTAAGTTGTCAATGTGCAGGATTTGAGATTTGATAGTATTTTATAATATTCACAAGACTTCTTGATAATAAATTTCCTTTTGTAGGACCTGAATGTATATTTTTCCATAAAAAACTAACCCTTTTTACTTAAACTCATTCATACCATTCTTGTATTTTTATTAGCCTGACTTGACTATTAACTCAAGTAATAAGAGAGACTCGACTTCCCTACAATGAGGGAAGCCTTCTCTGCGTCTCATATTTGAACAGTTCAAATTTAATGCCTTTTATTTTATATTGATTAAAATAAATAAAATGTATAAATTATAAAAAAAATTAATAAATATGTTTATCAATTTAGATAATCTAAATTTAATACGAATGATCCGAAGTTAATATTAAAAAAATTATAAAAATTATAAAAAATTAATATTAAATATGTAGTTTTCATAATATATTTAGATGGTTAATTTATAAAAATTATACAATTTTTAACATTAAATTTAGATTATCCAGTAAACAAATTTATTAATTTTTTTATAATTCATATAAAGTTTTTATTTTAATATCTGGACTGTTGGAGACTTTCCACAAAGAGAGCAGGGTAAAGTGTGAACCGACCTTGTTCAATTATACTCTTATCCGGTTGGCAGATGGCCAAGATTAATCCACATCCAAGAAACAAGAGTAGAATCTAGTGCGACAAACTCTGCTTTTTTTTCAGGGGTTTCATTTCACTCACTCCTTTTGAAAAAGACAAGAATGTATTATGGCAATTCCCTCTGTTTAGGGCGATAACAGCTGTCTTCACTTCTCAAATCCAAATCTTGTTGAAGCCTTCTTCCTTCCATCCTTACCCCACATTATCTGGTTCTGTCACGTTTCATGTTCTCTCCTCTCAATTATTCTTTTCCCTTCCTCGCCCTCCTCCTGTTTGTAAAAATGCCTCAGCAGCACCAATCTGATCCAACACAAACTTTCCATTCTTTCATCAGAAACAATCCTATTTGAAATACTGAAACTAAATATAGGCACATTTTTTATTAAAAATTCAAATTTTGGTTCATCATGAGATATTAGTACTAATTCAAGCCCGTTGCTAGCACAACTTATGAACACAAATTTTTCTCTGCTATTGGAGACAATCTGTTTAAAACACATTCAGATACTAAATGTAAATATAGCTAATGTTTCAATGAATTTAAATATTGATTTGTTATATTGTGAGGCACTAGTCATTTCTATTAAATTCAATCCCGATTGGTAAAACAAACTTCCCTTAGTGTGCCCATTCTCATATGTAATTCAGAGCTGGCCCACTGATATGCCATGTACATATATAGATGTCTAAGGGAATATTTGATGTAGCTGAGGACGCCATCGGTGGACTCGTGGAAAATATTCTCATCTTATGCTTTTTGGACAGGAAGGAGACTTATGCTATATTTGTTTTCACGCTGGGAAGACATGTTACGTTTTGTGTTTGGGAAAAATCACGTAATGCCTTTCAATGCAAACAAACAGATAAATATGTCTCTTGATTTATTGGAGAGAACGGACTTTGGGGCTGAGAATCAGGTTGAGCGAGTGTAAAATTTTAATCTCCCAACTTCTTGACTCTTATTATATCCATGGAAAGTAATGCTTAGCCAAAACTTTTGGACTCCACAGCTCTACATGTTATGTTTTTGTAACTGTTAAAGAAACTAGTTGCAAATGATTAACATGTTTACCTAAATACTAAGATATATCCTGAGCCTCAATCTACATATAAATCAGTAGTAATTAATTATGTTACTTTTTTTTTTTTGGGGTTGCTATTTCCTAGTAGAGGATGGTTTTGTAATTTTAAACCACACGACAATGCATTCTCCAGTTAGGAAAATGAAATTAAAGTAAAAAAATTGTAATAAAGAGGGAGGACCGATCATGGTAAGAGAGCCTCTCTTTGATGAACTTGTAAACCATAGATAGTGGCCTCTGCTTTTTATATTCTTTGCAGTACTTCACTTGAAGGCCCACATTTTCAACAGAGGCATCTCATGATGAGGAAGATCAGAATTATCACTAGCATTGCACCGCGCGGGAAAAAAAGAAAAAAAGAAAAAAACCTCTTCACATTCATACTTTCCCAACCACTTCACAAAAAAATTTCTGTGAGTAAAATTCCATCTTTTGGAATATGGGGAAAAAAATTGATTTCAGTGCATGATATCATATCTCTCAAACAAATGATGAAGATGCATAAGATCTATCTTCTAAGTAGCAGTCCTTCCTTATGAGAGAAATACTTGAGTATTCATTTTTTAAGAATATTTTTCACCACATGTGAAGCAGATATCACAAACGGGATTAGATTTAAATAATTTTCCACATAGCAGCATGATCATGTAGTCTGGTGCCTAAATATTTTTATTTTTGTGTGGCTAATTTGCATCGTGCGTTTTACTGATGAGATTATAAAAAGTTCCACGTTCTTGGGTATCTGATATTATAAAGAATGTTTGCTGACTCCAAGGCTATTCTCATCTGAATTTATAATGAAAGCACTTCTTTCACTTGTCCAAAGCACCGATCGAGGTCTCTGAAACGGTGATGCTTGTCCTTTATAGTAACGAATTTACAGATTTCCAGACAAATGGGTAAGACTTACAAGCTTGGATCTCTCACTTTCTTCAACAATCTTGACTAGTAAGCTTCAAAGGGTAAGATCAAAGTCATAGTCAATGTACATGGCTCTGCAAATTGTTCCTTCTTTCATGGACAAGTCTGACGATATTTGAGGAGGGTCCTGTACTGTACAGCTTCTTCTTTACTTATACTGCCCTACTATTTACCAACCAATTGTACGTTTCACCCCCTACCTGCTCATTTAATACTGAACTGAGATATTTATAAATATAACAATTTTCAGATCCCAGAAATTGCCATTGCACTAGACAGTAGTAGTTTGTTTCTTGTGATGTTGTTAGAATGGGCAAGAAGAAGAGCTGGTTTACTCTGATAAAGAGACTTTTTAGACGGGACACCCAGTCTGAACTAGGCAAGGTAAAATCTTCTCTGCTTCTTTGGGAAAATCTATTAGTTTTTAGATTCTGATGTTATGATACTATCTTTTTGTTATGTTATGATACTATCTTTTTTGTTTTTTACCAGAAGGAAAAGAGAAGGGAATGGGTATATGGTAGGCTGAAGATTAAGAGATTAACTCCAATTGCTGGTCATCTAAAGAAACAACAATGGCAGGAGGTGAAGAAGATGAAGAACAGAGGAATAATGCTTTATCAGTGAAAGAAAATTCTTCAGCCATCAAAATCCAGGCTACATTTAGGGGTTACCTAGTGAGATTGTTATCCAAGTTTTCAATCTTTTTTAATTAGTGTCGCAGTTTAAATGTTATTTTTCTCATTAATACCATATTACAGGATCAGATTAGTTTGAAAATTGGAAGTTCAGCATAAAGAAACTGAAAGAAAAAGTTGTTAAGAAGGAAAAGAAAGACTAGATTTGCAAGTTATGGATTCATTCATAATGCACGATAATTTACGTTAGTTTCTTAGTCTATAGTGCATATCTTTGTGAGTTTATTGCATTCCATCATCTCTCTTTCCTTTTTTGGAGAGAGAGAAAAATGTAGTGACACTTATGGATCTTCAATTTTAGATGATCCATACTCTAACCGATTAGTTGTTGAAGATGAACCATCAAACGTACAAAGACTTTGTGCCAAAATCAAATTATTAAATCAATCAAACTACATAAAAGAATCTTTTAAACATAATACTAAATCAAAAACTGGGGAAAAATTTTAGGCATCAACAAAATAATTTAGCCATTATTTTTCAATTATAGATTCACTATAACCAGTGATTGTAACAACAGGCAAGGAAGGCATTGAGGGCATTGAAGGGAATAGTGAAGCTTCAAGCTATTATTAGAGGCAGAGCAGTAAGACGCCAAGCTCTGAGGTCACTCAAGTGTTGCAGTCAATTGTAAGTATCCAATCACAAGTCTCTGCTTCAAGGAGACTTCAAATACTTGAAGGCAGATCTCTCTGTGATAAACCCCAAAGCTTCCAAGCTTCAAGGGATAGGTTAATAAGGGTATGCGTTCATATATATAAGAAGCTATACTATTAATAAACCATAAACAGTGTGACTTATGTCGAACTGTGCAAATGCAAAACAAAGAGTTGTCATCTAGTTTCTATATTTCAGGTGGATTTAAACAGTGAAAAAAGGTGGGATGACAGCATTTTGCTTAAGGAAGAGTTAGAGACGTCATGCATGAGCAAGAAAGAAGCTCTTCTCAGGAGAGAGAGAATAAAGCAGTACTCGTTTAACCATCGAGTAAGTTTCTGGATTTTTGTTTTTATTTTGGAGTTAAATAGCAAATTAGCCAGAAATGTCTGGAGTCTTAAATTTGTTTTTGGTGGGATATTTTTTTTAATTTTTAAAAAGAGTACAATATAAATTAACTAAGAAAAGGACCAAATAATTAATTATAAAAAAAGGATCCAGAAATTTTTTTTGCCTTTTTTATAATTTGAGTCATTGTTTATAATTTGGCTCTTTTTTGTTTTTTTTTTAATTTTCTACTTAACTAAAGGTTAAAATTAATTTTTGTAAATAATAAGAATAACACTATATTATTTTTAAAAGTTGAGGAATATTGCACCAAAAAAATTTAAGTCCCAAATATTTTTGGATTTATAATTTAAGGGTGAAATTGCTCTTTTAACACTTTTTTCTTTTGGAAGAAAAAAAAAACCTTCAAAATCAAACCCTTGTGAGGTAACTTTAGTTTATCTCTTTTTACAGTTACAAAATTAGAATGTAAATTTTAAAGGGTAACATTACATAAAAAGATGGACCAAAAATAAAGGGGAAAACAACATTAAAAAAAAAACAGTAATTTTATCTCTGTATGTGTGTGTATTTGTTGATATATTGTGATGTTTTGTTGCGTTCTGAAATTTATATGCTAATTTTATGACAAAGCCTTCGTGTTGTTGTATTTCAGATGTCAGCAGAAACAGAAAGGAACAAAGTAAATGGAAGATGGAGGTACTGGCTAGAGCAATGGGTAGATACTCAACTTTCTAAGAGCAAAGAGCTTGAAGATTTAGACATAGCATTTAGCTCTGGTTACAAACGTGAGAAAGATAATGGAGGAAGATCACTTAAACTGAGAAATATTCAGAGGCAAAATCAGAATGAAGTGTTGAACTGTCACAGGAGGCAATGTTCAGTGGGAAGAGAAGATAACTCATTCACAAGCTCTCCTTTGATTCCCACTTACATGGCAGCAACTGAATCAGCAAAAGCCAAAGCAAGATCCATAAGCTCCCCAAGATTAAGGGCATGGAATTTGGAGGCTGATTCTGATTATAGCTATTCACCATGCATGAAAAAGCTATCTCTTGTATCTCCTGGTAACACAACTAGTGAGGTTTTTGGCAGTAATCGGATTGGGAAGTTTAGTGGTAGTAATTACAAGCAAATATCTCCTAAGTTAAAAGGTACAGTTTCAATGATGGACAAGGTTTGATAAGTTGTTAGTTGTTAGTCACTAGATTTCTCAATAAAATTAAAATTTGGATGCTCTGAAATATTTTATCTTGATAAAGTCTAGAAAGATAGGATTGAAATATGATTCTTATCTATATGTATATGAGCCCATAAAAATAGAGCCCACTATTTTTTGGGATATAAATCTCAATTATTAATGCAAGGAGAGAGATAGACATATGAATAAAGTGGGTATTATATATTGGGTGGGTCATACTCCATCTATATGTTTACTTCTCTTCTCATAGCATCGTGCTGCTGTAACAGAGAATCGAATCCTTTAATTTTATTTTTATTTCTCTTTACTTCATTTCATAAAATAATTTAGTGAGTTCAAATTATTAATTAAAAAACATCTTGCAAGAAAGAATTTTTATTGGAAAGGCCCAATCATTCAGTGTTTTAGTTGCATGACAAAATCATAAAATCTTCACTCATTAAGAACCTAAAGGCAAACTAAAAGTTGTATGCTTGTCTTTTGTTCAAGACTGTAAAATCAAGCTTCAAAGAGAAGGATCTAAGATAACTGCAGATTGTGTATTACCTTATTGAGATCCACAAAATGCCTCCAAGTAAATTGAAGCTTTAATTACTGTACTGATGCTGCTTGCTTCAACAGAAAACGCCATACCTGAAAGCTTGAACCTTAAATGCAGAAACTGTTGCAGAATTAAGTGTGATGTGTAAATATGTAAGCAGGATCCGCAAGAATGGATCAATGAGGGGATAGAGATAGGACTACACATAAATTAAGTGGGCTCAACCATTCCAATCATATTAAAGCTGTGCAAGTACATTATGGCCATCTTAACCTATGGAATGACAGAGTCATGCATGACAAAAGAAGAACGAGCTTCCAGAGGTTTTAGGAATTAATTTACCAAGGACCTGTTTGGTCTTTCTTTCTTTTTTTCATTTATTTTGTTTTTTAAAAACTGTCTTATAATTCAGTTTTTAAAATTTGTTTTGAAAAACAAAACAAAAAAAAATCTATTTAATTGTGTTAATTTTAAAATTAAAAAATTGGTCAATGGTGATGATCATTGACGGTTAATAATAATAATTTATAATAATTATTGGCCAAGTAACTGTATTTTTTAATAGTTAAATATAACGTATTTTGATAACAAAAATTAAAAACAGTTTTAAGATGCTTTTATTTTTTTGTTTTTAAAAATTAAAAAAAGAATATTTTTTAAAATAATTAAATTCAAAATACTCATTCAAATAAGTTTTTAAATTTTATATTTAAAAAAAAAAACAAACATGCCCAAAATCTGACATATGCTTTTTAGAAAGTTAGGTTTTGTCCTTTAATCATGCCTCTAGAATAGAAGTAAAACAAAAGTAACAGATTCTCTTACTACGAGTGGTCTACTTATACTTTTATATAATGTTTGATACGTAAAAAATATTTTTTAGGAGGGAAAAAGATATGATTTTTCTTATTTTCTAAGAGGAAGAGCTTGGTACTCCATGAAAACAGGTTTCTTGTTTTCCTTTTTAATTCAAAGAAAAAAAACTTACAAAATCATTATCAATATCAATATCATCATAATGGATCATCATCAATATCATCAATATATATAGTAAGGCAGGATATAAAATCATTATTCATTATAGATGAATAGTTGTTTGAATACTAGTTTTTTTCCTATTCTTTTTTAGCATTACTTTTTCATTTTGAAAAAAAAAAATACATGGTAAAGATTTATGTGGGAGTCAACATGAAAAGATGTGGGTGAGACAAAAAAAAAAAATTTAATTTAAAAATTTAAAAATAAAAATAAAATATTTATATTTATATTTTTAATATGTAAGAAGTAATAAGTTATTAATGCTTTTGAAATGGGAAAGAGTGATACATTTTTGTAAAAAATAACATATTATCATCAAAATAATTTCTAATACACAAACTGCATGAGATAATAAATTTCAAAATAAAATATAATATTTTAATTTTTAATATGTTGAAATAATAAATTCTTAAATAATCTGTGTAGAAATAATACAAAAAACAAATGATAAAATAAAATAAGTGATATATTCATGACCATGAATGGATAAAAATCAAATACACGCGCGAGCGATACTACGGTGCGTTTCATTCCCTTCCACCAGTTCCCTTCCTCCCTTAACCCCCCACTCCGTCGTGGCGTCGTCCGACTGTATAAAGATCCGACCGTCACCTTCGTTGTTGCTATGTCTGACTACTGAATCGAATTCGTGAGTTGGCAAGTGAGAGTGATAACTCTTTCACTTTCACCAGCAAGACGCGAGGTCAATGAGGCCGTCGCCTTCATTCCCCTATTTCAGCAACTGGAAGCTTGATTACGGCCCAAGGTTTTTTCTTTACTTTCACGGTCCAATTTGAGTTTAATTGAGTCTATGAAATGGTTTTAGGTTTTGCTGATTGAAAATGTAGAAGTCTCATTTGTCTTTAATTGCCGTATGTATTGATTACAGCTACAACTTTGAAGGTTATGCTTAATTTTGGACGTTGTCTTTTGTGTTCTGAATTTCATTGAAGTCTGCTAGTACTGGTGGATAAGGTCATCTTGAGTCGAATTTCATGTTTGCTCTATGGAGAAGCAGATCGATGAAAGTGTAATTATTTCTAGTTCTTCGTGGTTTGTGTGTAAAAATTATATGTATGAAAAGAAAGCATCGAAGAGAAGGGAATTGTGGGTGTGTGTGTGAGAGAGAGATTGACGGCTGAGCGAAGCCAAAATAGAGAGAGAGCCTAAGCAGATGAAAGCTGAGGCGGCATGAACGAGAAGGAGCATCACAAGGGAGCAAGGATTGGAGGGGAAAAGAATAGAGACTGAGTGGAGAGAAGATGGAGAGGCCGAACCTCATTTGATAAAGAGAGTGAATGGCAGAGAAAGAAAGACAGGGATTCCGCGCACACCGAGAAGAGAGTTGGTGAATTGAGGCAATCAGGAATTCCATCATCGACATAGTGGGGGAGGAAAGATTCTTTCATTTAGCCTTTCAGTCCCTGTGAATTGCTTGAGTGAATCCGTGAATGGGACTTAAGTTTTGCTGAGTTGGCTAATTTGCTTGAAATCCTCTTGAGTTAATTCAGTGATTCCTGGTTTCATTATCAAATCTTGTTGGATAAAAACCTTGCTGATGTAATTTGTTAGCATGAAGTTTTCTCATATTTGATCCCCCATTGATTTGATTTGCTCTTGCATGTCAAAAATCTGGGTTGTGTTCGGTCCTTCTGAGATGAAAGCATTGGGTGAAATCTAAGTTCGGTTTGACGGTGATGGCTCCATCTTATATAAAAATTAAATATAGTTACTACTGGTAGTTAGGTCAACCGGAACGGATTAATTTCTCTTATTTAAGGTTGACTGGTTTGAATCTTATAACTAAAAAAAATCACATTGGGGGATTTGCCCCAAATTGAGCCTATTAATATTGAATCTCACTTTGTATACAATAAAGCTGATGGTTTCCAGATTTTCATCTTGCAACTTTCCTGCTCTTTTGATACTGAAATTGAAGAGCATGTTATATGAACTGCAAGTCTTATCAATTGTCATCAATGCTTGGCTTAGAATATCTGGAAAAACATTATTGCAATTGTGTTAAGAATTCTGACTTAAAAATAGGCAAATATTGAGGAGCTTTTATGAAGAGTGCGTTGATTTCCTTTAGTCCTTTCTTATATATTAGTTTCTCCGTCATCATATATTTGATAGCTTTTATTCTTTTCTCCTTCCAGATTTTCAAGTTCTGCACAAACTTTCAAGTGATGACCGCAGGGGATACTACTGCAAGTGGGTGAAAGGAATAGGTCTTTTCAGTTCTGTGAGTGAACTAAGAAGTTTTTCTGTGTTTTCTGTGTTCTAGCCTGTAACTAGCCTAGAGATTAAGCTTATCCACAAGATTTTCAACAACATTTCATACTGAAAGAATTGAAGAAATATTCTTTTTGGCTTTGTATAATGCAAAGATCAAGTGGCATCTAGAAACCTGCAAATGCCTCCACAGTCACCTCCACCATCCAAGACCAACAAACTTTATTTTTTCTATGGTCACCGTAAGCCCTCCCAAAACCGTCCAGTTGTCCGTGGTGGTCTTTTCTCCAATCGCATAACACTTAACCCCAATAAACCAAAAAATACTGAAGTCCAGCCCTTTGATATACACAAGTGGGACCCTCACTTCCTCTCCCAGACCCCATCATCTTCAGCACTAGCTCCATCACCAGAAACCTCATTCTCTATCTCCCTTCGTTTATCTCCGATTGCTCGATTCATTATTGATGCCTTCCGCAAGAACCAGAACAAGTGGGGCCCTTCTGTGGTGGCAGAGCTTCAAAAGCTCCGTAGGGTGACTCCTAACCTGGTGGTTGAGGTTCTTAAAGTCCAAAACAATCCCACCCTTGCCTCTAAGTTCTTCCACTGGGCAGGGAAGCAGAAGGGTTACAATCACAACTATGCCTCTTACAATGCTTTTGCTTATTGCTTGAATCGTAACAATCAGTTTCGAGCAGCAGATCAGGTTCCTGAACTGATGGACTCGCAGGGGAAACCACCTAGTGAGAAGCAGTTTGAGATTTTAATCAGAATGCATTCGGATGCCAATAGGGGTCTTAGGGTCTATTATATTTATGAGAAAATGAAGAAATTTGGTGTTAAACCAAGGGTGTTTTTGTATAATAGAATTATGGATGCATTAGTCAAAACAGATCACTTGGATTTGGCATTATCCGTTTATGATGATTTTAGAGAAGATGGCTTGGTTGAAGAGTCTATTACTTTTATGATTTTGATAAAAGGATTGTGTAAGGTGGGGAGAATCGATGAAATGTTGGAGATTTTGAGTCGAATGAGGACCAACCTGTGTAAGCCAGATGTGTTTGCATACACTGCTATGGTTCGTGTGCTGGTTTCAGATGGCAATTTAGAGGGGTGTTTGAGGGTTTGGGATGAAATGGAAAGAGATGGGGTTGAGCCTGACGTCATGGCTTATGCAACATTAATTACAGGTTTATCTAAAGGGGGCAGAACTGAAGAGGGTTATGAATTATTTAAGGAGATGAAGAAAAAGGGCCATTTGATCGATAGAGCAATATATGGAGCACTCATTGAGTCATTTGTGGCGAGGAGGGAGGTTAGCTCTGCTTGTGATTTGTTGAAGGATTTGATGGCTTCAGGATATAGGGCTGATTTGGGGATATATAATTCACTTGTTGAAGGTTTGTGTAATGTGAATCAGGTTCAGAAGGCTTACAAGATTTTCCAATTCACTTTACAGGAAGATCTTAAACCAGACTTTGTATCTGTAAAACCCTTATTGATGTCTTATGCTGAAGCAAAACAAATGGAAAATTTTTTCCAGTTGCTCATGCAAATGCAGAACTTGGGCTTACCAGTTCTTGATGACCTGTCCAAATTCTTTGCCTTCTTCATAGAGAAGAAAGGACCAATAGCAGCATTAGATACATTTACGGGTCTGAAAGCAAAAGGTTATATTAGTGTCAAAATATACAACATTCTTATGGATTCTTTGCAAAGGATTGGTCAGGCCAAGAATGCATTATCACTCTTTGATGAAATGAATGGCTCAACATGTACGCCTAATTCATCTACTTACAGTATAGCAATTTCATGTTTTGTTGATCTTGGGGAAATTCAAGAGGCATGTGCATGTCACAATAAGATCATTGAGATGTCTGCTATTCCCTCCGTTGTTGCTTACATTAGCCTTTCCAAAGGGCTTTGCAAAATTGGAGAGATTGATGCAGCCATGATGCTTGTTCGAGACTGCTTAGCCAATGTTGATAGTGGACCGATGGAATTCAAATATACTCTTACCATTCTTCACTCGTGCAAATCAAATGATGCAGGGAAGGTGATTGAAGTATTAAATGAGATGATGCAAGAAGGTTGCCCTCCTAATGAAGTCATATACTCTGCGATAATCTCTGGCATGTGTAAGCATGGAACAATTGAAGAGGCCAGGAAGGTTTTCTCAAACTTGAGGGAGCGCCAATTATTGACCGAAGCCGACACAATTGTGTATGATGAAATACTAATTGATCACATGAAGGAAAAGACAGCACAGTTGATGCTGTCAGGATTGAAGTTCTTCGGTCTAGAGTCTAAGTTAAAATCAAAAGGTGTTAAGTTCCTGCCACGTTGAAGACAGTAATGGAAGGTGATTGATGAGTTTTGGCTCTTATATGTGTCAAACATCTGAAGATGATGCAGGAGGCATCGATGGGAGAACATCGTTGATTCATTTGCTCATCGAGTAACTGTTTCAGCTGAACCATATACGGAGGTAATTGGTTCTACCTAGCTCAGAATGATCTTATAAACTATCCAACATGTCATTTGGAACTTTCTGACATAAGCTGATTTCTCTCTCTTTTTTCTTCGTTTTTTTTTTTTTTGGGTGTTGAGGGGGGAAGGAGATTCAGAATTCCGGATATGTAAATTTATTGTTTTACATATGAAAAATAAAGGATTAGTGACCTTCCAAGTGTTACTGTTTTGCAAAAATTATGTCAAAGTAGGTGTTTAAATTGGTGTTCCCTTTTACAGTAAGTTGCTAGTAACTATAAATTCCTTGGTAACTTTTTCACTCTTGCAGGATAAAAGAGGAGTAGAAGTGAAAGTAGAAGATATATAATTAAAAACAACGAGATTTGTATCAAATTAATTTTAAAATTAAAGGGTTATATGATATGCCCGGAGTACTTATAAATCACTAATCAAATTATTTATCCAATCACTTACATTGGTTCCTTATAAAACTTAATTCCAAAAAAGAAAGTTTCAAAAGTAGAAATCTACACCACCACCAAACAGGCTCTTCTAAGAACCTAATAATCCTAGAATAAATAAGTTCTCCAACACTAAGAATTTAGGACAATTATTTCATGCCTCCCAAAAGACAATGAAATTACATTTTCTGATGAATAGTGTACCTAACTACATCTGAAGAAATCATAATATTCCATTCTGCTATAGACTTTTGGGGCTTTCTCCGTTTCCTTCTGAAAAGAGAGGATGGCGTTTAACTTTAGAAGACCTATGTTACATGAATCTCAGATGAAATATGAAGCTGTTAGAAGACAAACCTTCATCTCTCTTACCACAAGCTTAATTCTGCTGGTCTAAGTACAATCCAAAAGAATCCTGAAATAAAATTGTAAATCGAACACATTCAATGCGGCTCTAAGCTTCTCTTTTTGGCCTGTTGCGAAGACGAGGAAGAGCAGGTTCTTCTTGTTTGTAAGTTTCAATCTCACCCTCCTCATCATCATTGTCGTCGTCGTCATCATCTGCTTCCATGATGGCTTCATTCATTGCCATCTGGTATTGACAAGATATTATTCAAAAGAATCAGATTGATGAGAACTTTCCCACTCTAAAACAAAACTGCAAAATGCGTCAATTCCATAAATATACGTTTTTTTTTTTTTTTCTTTGGGGGGGGGGGTGAAGTTTCCAGACACTATTGGCTAGCAACTCGAAATTTACATGGCTAGGCTCCATTGAATTGAGATGATAAATAGAATTAGACATCCTTCAGTCATCAGAAAAATGCAGACACAACAATCGGGAAGCGCACACAAGATTGGTTTACCAATGGTACAATCAAAATGTTTTTGCCTCACCAAGTCGAAAACGGACTTAATTTTTTAGGGGGGGGGGGGTTGAATGCAGCATAAGAAACAATTAAACATTTTGATACCATGAAAAGCAAGAAAAACGACCTTCAGCCTGCTTATACTCTGCCATCAAATGCATGAATAGATTAAGGTAAAATGAATTAAACACGGTACGAGGAACTCTCATGTATAGTAAAAATTTTTAGCCACTGTGACAGCTTGGACACGACTACGCTACAAGTTGAGGTGAATTTGAGGGGGTTGGGGGGAGGGATCCTCAAAGTCAGCTGAAGAATGATCAACAATCTCAAACTTCGAAGTTGGTTTGGCCTTACGTAGCGATTAATATATTCCAAGATTATAGAAATCCACTCATAGTAATCCACGGAAAAAAAAAAAAATCTTTACAACGGGGCATCAGGAATTCATTTTAGTTCATTTTCGATCATTCAATATCAGTCCTACCTAGACAACTCTTCAACTATATCCCACTTCTGCTGTGAATCAGTGTAATTCACAATGGAGACTTTTATCAAACAAGTCTATAAGCAAACACAAATAAATTCCAAGACCCATAAATTTCCACATGTTTTGTCTCTATTAACGATCACACACAGATTCATCGTCAAATTAACAGTTAAGTTGTCAATAAGCATCACAAAACCCAGCCATAAGAAATCAAAACCAATGCAAGAAAACCAAAAACCATATCCCGACATAAAAACTCTCCCATTACCTCCTCAAGAAATTCTCTGTCAAGCCTGTCTCCTATTCTCCACGAAGCTACTATGGTGATAGCGAGGAGCGAAAATGGCAGTGCAAAAGCGAAGAAGTAGCTGCTGGAGCTGGGACCCGCACGAGTCACCACAGTCAAGCGTCTCGGTTTCCGGCGGCGGCAAGAGTCGCCGGCGAAGTAAATAGCCGGAGAGTTTAGCAACGGTGCAGGCTTGAAGGAAAGGCGCGTAGAGTACGTGAAGGGAAGAAAGTGAGAATTGGGTATGAGAAGGATCGCCATGGCTGGTCGCCGTGTGTGCCACTTCCAATAACGTTCGAGAATCGAGATAGAAATCACCTCTGGTTCGTTCCCTTGATAACTGATAAGCAATAAAACAAGGGAGAAAATCAGAAAATGGCTCAACGACTATAATGACATTATTTTGGGAGGACGGTAGTGTGGTCTCAAAAAATTTAATTAATTTAAGTTAGGTTTTAAATTATAAATTTAAAAAATTTATAATTTAATTTTATAATTTTATAATTCTATTGTGATGAATTTATAATTTATATTTTAAATTTTAACAAAAAAAATAATTTTTTTATTTTTTAATTATATTAAAATTTAAAAAATAAGTTATAAATTCATTATAATATAGTTGCAAAAATAAAAATTTGAGTTATCAATTTTTGGAGTTTGACATTTGATACCTAACTTAAATTAATTAATCTTTTTGAAATCCCTTTATCATTCTCCCCATTATTTTTGTAAAGAAAAAACATATATTCTTAGATTTATTAATAAAAATATTAAATCATTTTTAATATTTTGAATATAGAGAATCCGTGCCTAAAAATTTGTAGTTAAATATCATTAATATTAATGCGTCTATATGAATAAAAACCATATTATTCACAAATCATGAATTATACAATTTATAATTGTTTTGCATATATAAGCCACCCTAGTTTGTATTAATAATTGGGAGATTTTTTTTTTTTTGGTGAAGATTAGGAGCTTTGTTTTGTCACATGATGAAATCAGATTTTAAGATATATTCTTTTAATATTATTTATAATTTATTTTTATCATGTTTTATTAAAATTAAAAAAATTTAAAATTTATTAACTTTTTTAAAAAATTAAATAAGTTCTCAACTTTATTGTTATTAAATATACATAATTTTTTGTCAAAATTAAATATACGTGTTTTATAGGAACATATTTTCTTAGAGAAAATATAATTTATAGGTAAGATAAAAAATATTCTCTCTCCCTCGTAAATATCACTTATCTTTTAAGTATCACTAATGTTGGCTAAAGGTGCCCTCTATTCCTCTTAAAGTTACTTTATCTTCTAGTATCACAAGAATAAACGAAACATGACATAAGGACAATGTTCATAATTTGCTCTTTTTTTTTTTTGCCACATTGTTCATAATTTGTTAAAAAAACAACTTCCCATACATATTGTGTGTCAATATCATCAATATAAAAATTAAAACAAGTTATACTATATGCAAATTACGAAAGCTAGGGCCCATTATTCAGAAAGCTAGATTTATATTGATTGTAATCATACTAAAACGTAAAAATGATAAGATTAATAAATGCTGATATTATCATTTTTAATAATTATTAAAAATTTAATTTTTAAAGAAGAATTATTGTAAGTGTAACTTTCCCTAACATAATCATGTAGCTTAAATAGACCTATTGAGATCATACTTTCATGAGGTTCACTTCACCATCAAGGGCATGAAATCACCAAAAAGAACTCACATTGTCAATTGAGCTTCTATACAGAGGGCAACAAATGAAAAAACATAAGATTAATCAACTTCCTCTTTCTTTACATAATGAATCATCAACTACAAGTAGAACAGGACAACCTACCAACCATCCTCATGAAAATAGAATAAAGGATTCTCTAATAAAACTCGGAAACATTTTCTATCAGATGACAGAAAAATAATTTTGAAAACTGCACTCAATGGTTCTTTCAAAAATAAAGATTGAGGGATAGACCAAGCATGTCAACTTAGGTCAATATCTTCCATTCCAGGAGGAGACAATGGCGGAACAGCTATTTCATGAGATGTAGCTGAATCTACGTCCAAGATTCTTCTTGCAGTTGCTTGCTGCCCTTTGCCTCTTAAAGAATTTCTGGAAGGAAGTGATCCAGAAGAAGCTCTTGATGAGTTACTACTATCAATTGACATCAAAAACTTTTCCTTGGACAGTTTTGGGGCAGATGCAATGACAGAACTGAATACTCCAGATTCCCTCAAACCTTGTATTATGGCCTGTTCGCAAACACAGAAGAAAATGAATTCCAAGTAAAGATCATGAGTACATAAGGGTATATATAAACAGACACATGTTGTCAACGGCAAGCTGTCCTAATCGCAGCATCACCTCCCTCACTTGGATAAGGTCCCGAGTTCAAACCTAGCATTGATGCATTTGTGCGCATGTCTCCCTTTCTTTATGAGAAAGGGCATAGGTTAGAGGTAAAAACAAAAAAAAAAACAAAAAAACATGGCCATGGGAGGTAATTATATGGTAAAAAGTCAGAAGACCTGGGCGTTCCAAGAAAAATAATTTTAATTTCTGAGCGTTTACTTAGAGGTCCTCCGAAGAAACTAAGTCCTGCAGGATTTATAAAACCTATAATCTCATCCCCATCGAGTTCTATAGATATTACACTAAACTCCCATAATTAAGTTCTTATAAGCATTTAGGTGGCCTTTTAGTGATTTGTGCGTTTAATAAATTGGATGTTTCTGTATAAACTGAAACTAAAGGGTGTGCTAATGAGGTTTTACGTACATCAAGGGAAGTAACCGTAATTTAGTCTAAAAGTAAATTTTGTATTCAAATTCTTTTCCACAACCAAATTGGACCCCTTTTCAACAAAATTCTCTTCATGCAGAAAGTATCTTTTTTGCAAGCCATCTTCATCTATTATTCCCTTTACTTTCTAATATATGAATCAGTCTGTGAATAATTAGATATGCTTACCATAGGAGTATATATGCGAGTCAATATGCCCTTCCTCAACAGTTTCAATTTTACATCTTTGTCATCCCAGACAACATGTTCATGGTACCTGGAAAAGTCAGAAAAGGCCAAATGTTTTGGTAGATCAATACTATTTCAGACTGAGAAAATTGGCAGTAAAAACATAGCAGACACAGGGACATTAAATACAGAGTGGAACTCAGCATACCACTTCAGCATTTCCTCTTCAGTTGCAGTTGAAGCAATGATAAATGCCTGCAATTATTAATGTTTGCTTAGCATGCTGAATAATTGTCAAGAATCATAAAACAAACAAGGAACGCATAACCAACACCAGAATTCCAAGAAAATTGGAATGGAAGAACCAATTATGGAATTGGACTGGAAGAACCAATTATCGAAGTTTATTCCAGTAACACAAGTTGAGTTTTCCATGGTACAGCCAATGGAATGAACTGTAACATAAGGACAGAGAATAACATATGGGAATGAGGGTGAGTGACAGAAATGCGGAACTCACAGATCTGTCAAAGTCCAGCATGAAGCATCTTTTGACATCTTCCTTTGTAGGTTTGCAACCACAGCGATCACGTCTGGAAGTTAGGTCTGAGAATTTCGCATATGTGTAATGTAAAACAGCAGCCTCTTCCAACTTGATTTCACTAGCATAATTCAAAATGATTACTTTCATGACATTCAAAACAAAACAAATGTATCAACTGCAAATATTATACAATAAATTATTATACTTTGGAGTTTTCATATAATTGTGCCATCTGTGTGCGCCATTAGGACGAAGATGATCTTGTATTCGAGCAACTGATTTTCCATTTCCATAAGTCAGGAAGTAGTTTGGATTACCACGGGTAGATTCTTTGTACATGCCAAAGTAAGTATCTTTTGGAAGATGGTCATAGTTCCTCTTAAACATTGAGACCTGCTTCCACGGATTAAAATCTGTGTCAATGACAGAATATGCCCACCTCAAAGTAAAAGAACAATAGAATCTCACAGAAAATGTCATATAAAACTTCCAACCATAAATTCTGTTTGCATGATATCCAAGGGCCATTGATATTCTAACTCTAGCAATAAAATATTGGCTGACACTATATAAATGACGAAGGTAGAGAAAACCTTCTATCATTGCCAAGCAGGCATTTGGATTAAAAAATTTTGGAAGCTCAAGAACCTTGCCAAAGTGGTGTGCAAACCTCCTAGAGTCTAAGCACTATGTTAATATTTGGCTAAGCTTTAGTGTCGGTAATGCATCAACATTATTTAATTTTTATCTTGGTATCAATGCATTTTTTGTTAGCATATTGTGTCAATAAAGGAACATCAAGACCAACCCTTAAACTGTGAGCTAATGACAGGTAACTTGACTAAAACATGAGACTGGTTACAGATAGATGAAAGAACTTCTGAAGTCCTTCAGCTTAAATGCAATGGTAGGGAAAATTATATATGTGTCTCTCCTAATTCAGACGCTCCAACAAAAACCAGCTCTCCAGATATCTTTTGAGCGCAAATGACATTATCAACTAGCTGTGTAACTAATAAACTAATCATAAGTAATACAAGGCAGATATTCTGATAAAGACTCCTCTCAATGCCTAATATAATTATATTATTGCCAAATTGATAAGCCAGGTGCTTCACAAGTGAATAAGTTACAACATGTGAAACACAAATAATGAAACTTCTCCATGACGTACCTCACTAAAAGGGTCTTTGACATCATCACGCTCAACACTGCTTTCCTATACAACATAGATATCAACTTAGTTACAATGTTGAAGTTGACTTGTTATCCATCTCATCTCCAAACTCCATGCAAAACAATTACATATAAAAATTGAAAATAATGAAATGATTTGAACATTATACTTACATAGTTAGGAAATATGACCATATCAACATTTCCTGGAACATCAAGCAGCAACTGTCTCAAAGAATACTCCCGTGCACCAGCTGGGTGTATTAACTCATCAGTGTCAAGATGAAGAATCCAGTCCATACCATCATCCTAGGGTTTTTAACAAGCAAAAATAGTATTGGTCAAAGAAATAGAGAGCCTAACCATTGTTAATTAAAAACAGGGGAAAAGCCATACCCGTGCCATAACAATGGCCATCTCCATATTGAGGGATTGCTTCACAAATAGTTCATAATTACATGGTTTATAAAAGAAACCTGACAGCCAAGTCTCATTCCAAATACGGCTGATACAACCAACAATATGAAAAAATAGTAGCAATTGTAAGTATACTGAAGAGGCAAAGACAAAGAGATGATGAGTATGTCACAATAAAATACAGAGTAGGAAAAAAGCAAGAAAAATAATAAAATTTTATGGCACTAAGATTTGAAAAAAAAAATACAAACAAGAATCATGAAATAATTATATGAGGACTGAAGATCAGTCACTGAATCTCTCAATTTAAAATGATGAAAAGTTTCTGCATATAGAAGTGCAAATTGAGATATCCACATAGCATCATTAAAATTGCAAATTAAATTTTAAAAAAGGTCCATAAGATATGGTAAAATTAATCAACCTTCTAGCCTGTTGTTCTTCCAGGTCCCTTGTCCTATATATAACCTTTACACCCTAATTATATCACATAAAGCAAAGTAGAGATATGTTATTCTTGGGAGAAAGGAGGAAAGCAAAACAGATAAAAAGAAGTAAATGATGAGTAGGATAAAATAAATTACAGAACTAGTCAACTTACAGGAATAGATTCCAGAACGTTGGATACTTCAGGAGAAGCAGCCTTCCCCTCCACAAAAAGAAAGAAGTTTGATACCCCCATAACTTTGTGATAAAACATCCAAGGCAAAATCTGATCCAGCCCTGCTGATGTACTAGTTGTAATACAGATCTACATATCAAGAACAAAAATCAATAATGATATTTCAATTGTATATTTTCAAGGAAATATTGCTCCAATATGATAATAATGGACAAATTGGATAGTTATAAAATGTTTCAAATTTCTCATCAAATGTAGCAATTCAAATACCAAAGTACTCAACTTACAAACAATCAATTATTCATCAAATAAATATCACTAAAAGCCCGTGCCCCTTTCTTTAGTTCAACCTGGAAAATAATCGCAGTACTTAACCTAGCCTTTTAACTTTCAGCACCTAAGTCAGGTGTGAAAGAACTATGAAATACTTAAAAATCATAATTCTACCAAGCTAAACATTAATGATCTTCATCTAGCTAAATTTCAAATATCATACCAGGCCAAACAAATGACCAGATACAAGTCTACTTTCTTCGATCTATTTCTCCAAAGGGCAAACATGAAAATACACTTCACATGATCATATCCACCAGTAAAAGCAGAATTTAATGAAACACAGAATTTAGAAAACAACCAAAAAATAAATCGATCCCAAAATAAGAATAACCATGAAGCCAATTTTCGGCGTCATGGTTGAAGCTGTAATCAAATACAAACAGCAGCAATTGAAAAACCAAAAACCGATCCATAAAGTAAATCAATCTCCGCAGAGAAAGAGGCAAACAAACCTTAGGCTTCAGATTGGTCCCGTAATCAAACTTCCAATTTTTATAATAAGGGAAGGAAGGCGCCGAGCTGCGACCAAGATTGACACAATCGGACGAGGAGGAGTGGGAAATGGAGGAAAGGGGAGATGAGTCCATACCAGGGAACTGATAGGAGCCAGGAGGGGTTAAGAGGTTGGCGGGATCGCTGATACCACCACGCCATTGAAGAACGAAAGCAATGGCCGCCAAGGACACGGGAAGGAGAGTGAGGAGGAGGAGAATCTTAGAGGTGAAAGATTGGGAGGAAGAGGAAGAAGGGGCGGAGCGAAGAGAGGCGTGAAGCATGTGGTTGGGCATTGTGATGTATGGTGGACTCTCTGTCGCATACAGAGAAGACGAAGACGAAGACGAAGAAGAAGAAGAAGAAAGATAGCTACTTCTTCGACTTCACAAGCAAGTTATGAAGTGGGGGAGAGGACTCTATCATTTGCACAGCAAGTCAGCGACCACTCTCGCTTTCTTACCTGGTTTAATAGGATTTCATAATTTCATAATTCATAATTCATAATTCGGAGAAAATAAATAGACAATAGGAGCCGGTATTTTAATTGCGTTTTGTTTTTATTCTTTCTACTTTTATTTCATTGTTTTCAATCTTTTTAACTTTATTGGACTCCAATATTAATTTTTATAATTTAAAAAAAGTACATAAAAATCATAAATTGGTACCAGATGAGTTAATTTTATTAACTCATTTTCTAACATGTACTTAATCTTGCATTGGACTTTTACATTTGGTTTAAGCAAAATAGAAAAGAAAGCTCTTTTTCTTATTTATCTTTTATTTTTATTATATTTGATCAATTTATTTCCATATCATCAACATATTTTTATCATATCAGCACATTACTTTCATTAGTTAGTCTTTATATGTATTTTTAAAATTATATGTACTAATGTTGCAAACTATCAAATTAAAAGAAATGGAAGCAATGAGATAAAATTATAGAAACTAAAAGAAAAACACAATTAAAATATAGAGATCTCACGTTTTGTTTTTCCTAATTTTTAAAATGGATCTTCTATTTTTTTTTTCCCCCTTACCCCTTGAAGTTCATAAAGTATACTTTTCCTCTCCTCTTAAAAAAAAAATAACAATAAATATGCCAAACCGTGAAGATGGTTTTAAAATTTCTACTCTTTATTTTCCCTTTTGTCTTAAAAAATAAGTGGGAATTGTTTTAACTTGATCAAAAATATCAAATTCAAGTTCACTGTGTGCGTGTGCGATAATATTGATGAAGAAGTTTCCATCTCAGCTTAATTTAATTTCTCGTTAGGTCTTTTCAACTCAATGTGAAGTAGAACAAGACGCTGAATACTCCTATCAAAATCTACTCTCGCTTCTCCAAAATGATAAGAGGTAAGATTGTTGGGGAAAAATAAATCTATAAATGAAAGTGGCGAAAATTCTCTTTATAAAAATGTTTTAAATAACAAAAGTTGAAATTCATCAAAGAAATCTCTTAAAACACTTTAATGTTAAATAAAGTTTAATGTAGTGACTTTTTGTTTTCAAAAATCAATTAAAGTTTTTTTAAATGAAAATGAGACTAAATATTAACAAACTACTCAGAGCACCCAAAAAAAAAATTACAAACCAAAAGAGAATTTTTTTTTTTTAAAAAAAAGCTCTACACCTTTCACCATCCACCTATCTAAGCAAACCTAAAAAAATTGATGGTTAAAGGAGCCAAAACAATCAATGCTGGCAGAACTAAGGTTTAAAAGCAATTAAAGTTTTTAATATAATGGAAAACTCATTATGTACGATTCATGTAAAGAAAAATGTACCGATCTCACGGGATAAAACTTCTCATATTATTGCTTGTTTCTTAATTGTTTATGGAAGGGAAAATGGATACAAAAATCCAATGTTTTTAAAATCATGCCAGATAGTGAACCAAAAAAGTTAGCGATTCGTACGGTTCAATCAGATTGAACCAATAATCAAAATGATAATATAATAATTAAATTAAAAAATATATATATACATAATAATATAAATATAAAAAATAAATATAAAATTATTACTTAATTTAAAAATAAAATTAAATATTTTAAATTTATCATAACTTAACAAGTCACATGATACAATATAACATTAAATAATTAAAAAATTAATCATTTTGTAAAAAAATTTGATTAAAAAAGATATTTTTGAATAGTCTAATTTTTAAAAACTAAATCCGATTCTCACTTTAATCTCAGTTCTCGATTGAACCACCAATCCAACCAAACTCAACTTTTAAAATGATTATAATATGTTAATTGAGTTAAAATTCAAATCCATCGATGATCAGACCAATTCAACCTTTCAAAATGATTTTTAAATCATTACAAAAACCACACATGTTCTTAGTTCACATCAATGCCGAATAGCATTCTTCTCTCCCATCCGAATACATGGTGGGACCTTAAAAAAAGAAACTTATGCTTAATAATACACGCGCCAAACTCAAATTCTCAATTCTGATAAACTGGCCCCAATTCAACAAAACCCATTACTCACTACTTGTGGCTTTCAATTAATGATCATCACCTTCATGCCTCAAACAAAGAATATCTTCTTTTTCTTTTTGAATTGAAGGCGGGAAAAAAAATCCCAACAAGAAAACAGAATCAAATCATATCAAATATTAACAAATTGGTACACTAAGGTATAAATCATAAAAAATCTTGGAATCAAAAATATTAAGAATATTCTATGGGCAAGTTAGCTGACATATCCATTAGCTTTTTTTCGTAAATATGATTACAAGTGATGTTTCAATTTTATTGTTGAAACGATAATTTTGAGAGGACTCATTTTGAATCTATGCAAAAAAAATTAATTCGGTGGTAATATTTAATATAGTTATTGAATCTTTATATTATTTAAATTATTAAAATTTATATTAATAATTTAAATAAATTTATTCATTTATTAATTTTAAATAAAATATAAATTTAAAATTAAGAGCATACACATAAGAATATCACAAACATTTCAGAATCTCATTTCTAAATTCTAAGTGAGGAAACAAGAGAGGCGATTCAAAATTTCCTTAGCACTCTCAGTTTCAATATTCAAAATGTGAAAGCAATGATCTTCTCCTTCCACTTCAAGCAAATCTACTTCACCTTTCCATCCACTTTTCTTCACAGCCTCACAGTACACCAACCCTCTGTCTCTAAGCTTATCTTCTCCACAAACACAGATAAGAAGCTTCGAGCATCCAAGGTTCCCCAAGCTCGGAGCCATCTCAGCCGTCGGATTGATCGTAGGGTCATCGATCCCTGCCTGTGCTGACGGGTACGCCAGCTTCCACAACAAAGCCGGCCAACTCTGTTCGTGACCTTCCTCTGCTTCAGATCCGATTGGTTTTGAACCCCAAAAATACGGACACGAGAGGAATCCACCCAATAGCTTCACACCACCTGGCAGATCCTCGGCCCCACATCGGAGAGCCATGTTGTGCACAATGGTCCCGCCAGCGCTGTCGCCACCGATGTAGAGTCTGGTGAAATCGCCGTAATTGGCGAGCCATGGATCGGCGGTGTCGGTGGGGTTATTGGTTGCGTGAGAAGAAACCCATTTGAGAGAAGTCCAGCAATCTTCAAAAGCTGCGGGAAGTGGGTGTTCTGGGCGAGCCTATACTCGACGGAGACGGCGATGACATTTGCTTCGGAGACGATGAGGTTGAGGTAGCGGTGGTTGAGGAAGGAGAAGGCGGATACAAGGCAGAATCCGCCGCCGTGAAAGTAGACGAAGATGGGAAGCTTTAATCGGCTGTTAGACTGGGTCAGTTTCGGGAGGTAAAGGCGAGCGGAGATTGAAGGGTCGTCGGAGATGATGACGTCTTTGGATGAAACTCCGGTTTGGGGATCTGAGGGAGAGGGTGGGACAATCGGAGACCCAAAGAAGCGTTCCACTGTGCCGTCCTTGTAGACTCGGATGAGATTAGGAAGCTCTGTTTGTATCTCTTTTGTGCAGGTTCTTGTTGCAATGGAGGTGGATGCGGAAGCCATTGAAGTGACAGACAATTACGGAGGATCTGAAACAAGACGACGACTCAGCATCACTTGCTCTGTTCGTCTCTCTTTCTAAAGTATACACGCAAAGTTGGCAAATTGACCACTGTATTATTAAAAAAGAAAATTATTTTTCAAAATACTATAAGTTTTTTTACCAGAAAAGTGCTATAAGTTTAAAAAAAAATTATTATATTGTAAATGAGAATTTAACTTCACCAAATCAAGTTTTAAAATCTCTTTTTCCAGACACTTTACATTGAAATCGGTTTGTGTCAGGCAATTTTAATATAACCATGTAAAATAAAATAAAAAATTATTTAAGAGCTTCAAAATCTTCTTCTTATTTTTTTCCCTAATTTTGAGCCTATCTCACACCAAACAAGAGAAGATAATCCAAGCCAATTTTAACAAATCAGTTTGAATAAATTTAAAAAAATTTAGAATTAAATTTAAGAGTTTATAAAATTTTGGCTTATTTTGGGTGACCAAAATAAATCTGTGCCAACTTGAAATCAAATGATCTTTATACAAATATTTAAATTTTTTTTATTAATAAAAATATGAAATTAACATTTATTTAAACTTTCACTTAACTTTTATAAATTCTCTTCAAAACTTCCAGTGAGTACATTTTGTACTCTCAAATAAAAGTAGCATTTATCATTTTCAAAAGATATTCAAAATAAATAAATATTAAAATATTAAAACATCAATTTAGGGATACAAAATGTGCCATCTGAAAGTTAGAAGGAGAGTTTATAAAAGCCAAATGAAAGTCAAGATGGATGTTAATATCATATTATTATTAATAAAAAAAATTGGATACTCAAGCAAAACCCGTTTAAGTTTAAGTTTATTTAGGCAACCTGAATAAATTTAAAATAATATATATACACACACACACACTCTCTCTCTCTCTCTCTCACAAATATAGTTAGCAAATATTTTGAGCTAATTCAAATTGGCCTGAATTATCATCTGTAGCTTCATGTGAAGCAGGCTCATAATACCAAGTGCTCTAAAAAAAAAATTAAGAAGACAACAAAGCTCTTAAATAATTTTTTATTTTATTTTATATGGTTGTATTGAAATTAATATGACACAAATGAATTTCAATACAAAGCGTTAGGAAAGAGAAATTTTGAAACTTGGCTTGATAAAATTAAGTTTTCATTTTTAGTATAATGAAAAATATTTTTAAACTTGTAGCATTTTGAAAGATAATTTTTTTAAATCTAGTATCGTGGTCAATTACATGTATAGTGAAATGTGATTCAAATTATATTTTTTAAAATTAAAATGTTATTTAAGTATTGGATATGTTTGGATTGGCTAAATTATTGGCCCACATCAGTACACAAAAACATAGGTTAATTTTTAAAAAAAAATTATCATTTGATCCATATAATTTTGATCTAGTTATAATTC